CACAAAGGATAGGATGCAAACAGATGGGAGATCACACCACCTAAATATTGGGTCTCACCATATTTATATAAACTATCTGAGTTAATCCATTTGTCTGTCTCTCTCTTCTAACTCAAACACATCATCCTTCTCCACTGCTGGTGTGGTTACAAGGATGAGAGTTGAAATTTGAGCAAGGCAACCCCACTGATTTAAGACATCTAGGGCCGACATCTCTGTTAGAGGGATGCGGGGGCAATGGCAATGGTGCCTGGCCACAATTGTGATTTTCCTGATAAGTAGCTATGAATTTTATTTGTGCTTCTTGGACAGAGGACATGTTGGGCCAGATTGGATGTCACCAATGGATGGCTGATTTTCAACTCAATAAATATTGAGTGCCACATATGCCTTGTACGAATCATAAATATGTGTGTACATACAGTTCTTCTATCCTTTTCTACCTGTGATTTTCTCACTTGTCTTATCACTTTTATCTGTTCGCCATACATGTACTTACTCTACCTGTTCCTTCTATCTGTGTCTACCCTGTCTCACAAGTTATTTACTTCTCTATTTAGTGTCATCTATTTTTCCTTTTTGTTTTTCTGTTATTTTTACAATAGAATTATTTTAAAGTAATATAGGAAACAAATTGCATGACAGATAAAACAACAGACTTTGGGGAAATTTAGAAATATAGTCTATACCGGAGATGTAAATAGCTTCACTGACTAGCAGTATCTAATAGATACTAGCTGCCTTAGTATCTATTTCCGAAATGTACATCCCCTGTCTTATTATATCAGCTATCGATGTTATAAGTTTTAGTCCTATGTACCAGCTATAATGATTAAAACCTACAACCAACTAGTAACTTTAATCATAGGCATAGTAGCAGATATGCCAATCATGAAAATTCCATCTAAAAATAATGATTCTTCTTCCTTAGCGTCAGTTAACATATCAAAATTCATTTGTTGAACTGAACAGATTGAGAAGTTATATTTGAAAGTATATTTCTCAATAAAGTAATTACTATTTTGAATCAACCTCTGGATCAGTATGTTGATAACACATTGAACACCTTGATATTTGTATTTCTGTAATATACTTTTAATACCATCTTCTATCACTTAGAAGCCTCAAAGATTACTAAATCATAAATAATTTGGTTATATAAAGTTAATCAAACTTTTAAATTTTAATTTAGATATATTAATTATTCTATGTATTTTTGATAATAGGATTGTTTATATGTCAGTAAATCAAAATGAATGTATATTTTTCTATAACTTTATAGAATGCTGAAATATGGAGAAATGTGCTAAAGTAAAGAGGAAAAAGCATTTACTTTTGAAGTCAGGAGACCTGGATTAATATATTGACTCAATCTTTAGCTGGGTTACCTTAGGCAAGTTACTGAACTTTTTTTTTTTTTTAATTTTTATTAGGGTTTATTTGAGCCAAACTGATGACATGATGGGAAGCAAGATCACAAATGCTCACTGTTACTTAACTTTTTCAGGACTAAGTTTATTTTTGTGAGGTTTAATTTAAATTTAATATTTAATATGATAGCATAGAAAGCACCTAACACATGTTTTGCATAAGATAAGTGATTACTATTAGTTGAACTCGAATCTAGCCATCGCCTCATATTCCAGATGAAGAAGCCAAAACCTGAAGAGGTTAAGTGAATGTGTGTAAGGTCATACTCTTGGTTCACATGAAAGCCTGAACCAGAAAGCTGGGAACATTTTGC